CAAGAGCCATTCAATCAAAAAATTCATACGCTGATATCCGGTCTCCAAGTGAGTTGATCCTTTTGATTTCTTTTATGTGCTTTTTTATTTTCTTTATTTTTGTTTGTATCCGATATCGAACTTGTCGTCGAAATATATGCCAAACCTATTTGGTGCTCTGGGTTCAAGGCAATGTCTTGCTAGGTCCTAACGGCTCCAATGTTTTTAGGAATTAGATCAAATGCGTAATCAATTTGCTGATGTGAAAGTCCCGTTAGAACTCCTTGACGTTCTTGATCAAGGAAAAAACCCTCAATTATACACAAAGGAGGTTCTAGAAAGAACGCTTCAGAAGAATAAAGAGGTTCGTTTCCTTTTCTAAACCGTATGATTAGTTGTACATGCGTATCTGTTGTCAGGTTAATGGCAAAGTGGAGACGTACAAAAAGTTCCATGCTGCTCTCCTCAAAGAGCTTGGCGAAGAGATGCCCGAAGACACAATGACATATAGAAATATCAGAGATATTTTAGATAAACAATGACATACGCGTCTAAACTTTTTTGTATAGATGTTTTCCTTGTATATATCTTGGAATGATCTTCTAACATACATGTTTGTGATTTATCGAGGCCTCCCTGTAGATACTTGGAACTCTGAGTAGTAACTTCACCACAAAAACCTAGTTGCAGAAAGATGTCCATAGGTGCAAATGCAGTTTTCCGACCTCATAATGGTGTCACAGCCGCTCTCATAAAGTTTGTTCCAAACTTCGTTGCGTTACGGTTAAGTTGGACTCAGAACTCTTTGAAGAGTGAGGGATTAGAGCAATTCGTGGAAGAATATCTACCAGTTATAAGGTAAGATTGTGCTTTCCTGTGTTTCTATCCCTTGATTTATATTTTCGAGCTTTGACTTCCAGAGAGAACAATCCACGGATTAAATACTTTCTGCATAGAACATATACGGAATGTGACCCATTCGTTGTTGGGGAGTAAGTGCCTATAAGTATTGTTGAAAGTCGCTCATGTTCAATCTCCTCAGGTACACTTGGATGCGTAGCCGAAGGAAACGAGTGTCTTGGAGATCGAAACATCAGGTACTTTCCATGGTTGAGGAAATGGCTGTTGGAGGAGACTTTAGACCAGGTGACAGTCACAGCGTAGTGGTGATCGGTTTCTGGTGTTATCATGCGTTCATTGCAGGCAAGAAACGCGGTGTCAATAGACGTCTGCCGCGAGGGCAAGAACTGTGGGATACAGAGACTATGGGGCATGATGTATACAAGGTGACTTGAATCTTATCGACGACTGGTTGGAGTTCCATAGCTAACAAAGGAATGGTCAGAAGTCGAAGTGGTCAATCCAACAAGCTGCATTAAATAGCATGAAGCTGACTTCAAATCTGTCTTCCCTTACTGCTTGTCGCTTTTCTGTACTACAAGGACTTTTTCTGGACTCTTCTGACTGAAGCTATAAGGCATTAGACATTAGGCACCATCATTTTGCTGAGAAATTACGCGTGAAAGTGAAAATTCGGCGGTTCAGAGCCAGTTTTGGCTTAGTCCTGGGTTGAAACATGCAGTTAGCTTACTTCGTATAAACCATACCTAAAGATGAGTTGAGAGGGCAGCTATACGCTCAGTTTGGCAGCTTTTATGTGGATTTTTTCGCAGTATAACCGCTTATAGCTTCGTTCACAAAAACGATAAGCAGATATGGAAGACAGATTCGAAGTCGGCGTTTTATTTTGCAACTAATGCTATGCAGCTTGTTTGGGTTGGCCTCTTCGACTTCTGAGCATTCCCTTGTGAGTAAAAAACAAACTATCCATTTGCTCATCGAAATTTCTGCGAGGTGGATCGCTAGCTTATTTTTTGTCGCGAAGCAGTTAATAATGTCCCACATCAGAGTTGAAATGTTTATGCCTTTGTGAAAGCAGCAGGTATTGGAACAGCTAATATCTAGTGTTTTTGCAGATACAAAGCAAATGGAAAGCGGATGAGGACGATCTGCGAGTACCCTTAGCTGCAAAGCATCCAAATTTCGTGTACAGGAAATATTAGCTAGCTTGGCAGTTGTTCAAAGGATGTCAAGATTTTTCATGAAGAGATGTCGTTACACTAATAAAAGTTGTAAATAATATTAGAGCATTTAAAATACTTTGACAACGCAGTAGATTCAATCTACACAGCGGACATATGATTTTTTCCACTTTCATCTTATAGAAGAGTTCGTTCACCAGCAAGTAGCAAATACGGAATTACCACTGCATTAGAAACTTGTACGATCCTAAGTCAAAATTTGTCTATTTCCGAAACTGATTGAGGCCTATGCTTTTGTCACCCTTCCTCCTGTAAATTTTTGGCTGACTACACCTCAAATCTTTTTGTCAGCGATGTCTGCGAAACATGCTTTGACATTATCAGTGAAGCCATCGACAATGGCAGTCGTTGAGAAGCTCATTAGGACTTTTGGGGTAAACTAATTTTCTCTTTCCTTTAGCTCATCTTCATTTGATTGCGAATGGGAGCTTGATAAGCGTTAGCTTCAAGGCTCGGCACGGGTAGCTCATAAAAAA